TCTGGCCACCAGCTGTGCTTAGCATGTGGCCTTGTAAGGCTGCAGTGCTGCGCTGGGGGCAGTGAGCACATCGTTCTCACAGGGCCTGCTCACTGAGGAGGTGGCATTTCCCCAGCTGCACTTTGTCCCCGTGGCCCTGCCCAGGGCACAAGCCTTGCTTTTGATCAGCTGTAGCAGTATGGCACACAGGAGTGAACAAACTCGTACCATCTGCACAAATCAATGCTGCCAAGGAAGTCTTGAGAAGGGAAAAAGGACGTATCCCAAGTGTGCTCATTAACTCTGGCTGGCTTCCCTTAATTCAGAAATTATAGCAAACTTGGTGCATTGAGCTAGCAGGAAGTTGAGAAATTTGTGATAGTCAGATGGAAGAACCTTTACCTCAAGGGAAGTTTTGGTGTGTTACACATGAATTACATTCATGACAGTGAGTTTTTGTCATGGCTTTCCTGAATTATTTTGAAAAAGAGCTCACGGTACGGCAGCAAGTGAAACAGATAGTGTTTTAAACTGAAGAGTGTTGAAATACCACATTCCTAAGGAAAAGTTTTGTGCTATGTTTTTTCAGAAATGATTATAAGAGAAAAAGTATTTTTCTGTTTACCCAGATTGTTTGCCTTGAATGTTTGACAGTACTTCATATTTTTAACTTTCACTGTTTCTCCTGGGTTGGCAGTCAGTTCGTTCCCGTTTGTATGAATTTTTCATACAGTGACAGACTAGAAGAAACACCAAAAAAAAAGAGAAAAAGATGATTGCCCAGGCACAAAAGTTGTCAGGATGACTAAGAAACAGGAACAGGACACAAAACTATATTTAATACTATCTATTGTTCTATATTCAGTTGATGTTATCTCCATAAGTTCCTACTAATTTCTTTATAGAATCAGAGAACACATGGTGGAAAAGACCCATTGATTCCTGTAGCCTTTGTCCGTGTTGGCAAAATCTTCTTTTTAAACCATATCCAGTAGCAGTTGATCCAGATGTATTGATTCACACACCAGTTAAATATATGTTACCAGATGCAAACAGAAAGTTAAGACTCAGTCTGTGGTTGGATATTAAACAGAGATTCTTGTCATGAAGACATTTGCCTCATGACTGTTGCTAGAAGTTAGATACTCTCCTCGCTACTTCACTTGCATCTTCCTTAAGCACTCTGATTCTCAGAGACATTCAAGAAAGACTAGTTTCGTGGTGCTGTGGAGTTTTCCTCATTGCCAGAGGTAGGCTGTAACCCAGCCTGTGTCCTGGATAAATGTATTGTTGGCAAGAATGGAGCCCATGATGATTTTAGTGGGGTTGTTCATTCTGCAATCACAGACAATCAGAACTCTTAGTCGCAGGTTTGAACCAAACCTTGAAGTGAATGTACATGTTATATGTACATTGGATTTTTTTTTTGTCTACTCCTTATTTTCTTTAGTTGAAAACGTTTTAAGGGAACATAGATATGGTAAGGGTTCAGCATTAGGAATGTGTATGCATGCATGCTTTTCCTTCACTCACTGCATTATTTGCAGGGAAGTGAGTGGTGAAGAAAGGACAGAAAAAGTGATAACAACACTGTCCATAAATGTGGTATATGACCATATACTGTGGAGTATGATACTCAGTCTCAGAAGTGTAACTTTGAATTAGAAAATCAAATATATTTTAAGCTGCATTATAGAACTGCAGTTTGATCAGTGTATGGTGACAAACTTTAGGAACTAGATACTTAGGTTCTACAGAGGTCCTGAGCTGCAGGCAGTCAGTTCTGTTTGTGGCTGTGCACTGTAGTGCATGGGGAGGTGAGTGGCCCAGATGCCTCTCCCAGAAGAGCCTGTGAGGCTTCCATTGGACAGGTCATGCTTGTCTCCTAATGAGGAGCAGGGCCATGAACTAATCCTTGGTTTTCCAGTTACCTGTCTCATAGATAATAATAATTGGTTCAAAGTGAACTGAATTGGTTATCAGATTATTCTTGAAGTGGGTGCCAGAGGCAGTGCTGGACTACTTGTGTGAGAGCAGTGATATAATGTAATATATGTAATGTGATGTGATATATGTGTAATAATAGCAGTAAATAATGGCTGGAGCAGTAGCTGAAGGAGAGGGACAAGGTAGATATCTGGAGAGATTACTGAGGCTGGGAGTGAGAGCCCAGGGTAATGAGTGTAGGAGAGGATGCTAGAATACTAGAAAATCATGTTAAATTTCTTTCTGTTTGACTGCTGCTTGCAGTTGTAAGTCAAGTTAACTCTAATTAGCAAGAAATTGCCATTTAGTGGTGACAGGAAAGCCTTCACTGCATTTCCTTACTTTTGGCCACTAGCCTTTGGAACCTGAGTACGGTTTTAACAAAGTTTCTTTTTAAGTATTAATGTCTAAGGTTGTTTATTTGGCTTGCTTTTGAGCAAGCTTGAAGTATGAAAAGTTCTCCTCTGTGGAACCAGAATAACTGTGGCAAATCCATAAATTTCTTCCACTTGAGGCAGTAGGAAGTAAATGGCAGAAGGTGATCAGAGGGACAAACAGGGTATTCAGTTAGCCAGGGGGTCTCAGATCTGATACCTGCTGGAAGAAGAAAGTAAGAATCAAATTCAGTTCCAGAACATGCAGGTAGATGTGCTGTAATGGCCAGAGATTGCCTTCTCCTCAGCCACAGGTCTTCCCCTCTGCTTCTGCTTACCCTGCCTCATGCTGTCCTGTGGCTGGTGACTCTTGCCACAATTGCTCCTCTTCCCTGGTTCTCTTGCCCTTCTGTACTCATATGTTTTTCTCCTTTCTTGTTATCTGTCCTATTTTCCAAAGCATGAACAAACCCGAGTTTTCCGTAACTAGCCAAGTGTTGCATGGATTTTCAAAGAAATGGCAAAACCATGTCTTTGATACCAAGATGAGTAACTTCCCAGACTTCAGGAGCTCACTCCAAACATTGAGGTTTGGGAGTCTTCAACATACAAGCTTCTTTGAAATATTGCTGCATTACTTTTTTATTCCCTAATCTCGTTACGAGAAATGGATGAACCTTTATGACTGAAACTTCCTGGTACTGTTCAAGGTTTTCATAAATGAAGGTGACAAGCACCTTAGCTGTAGGCATCATCACAACAAATATAGATCCCCTACATGCCCCCATAATAGGAAAAAACGTGTGCCTGCCCATTTCACAACCTCACACACACGTACTCAGTTTCACTATTACTGGAAGTCACTGCTACCAGCTGAGGAACATTGAGGACTTAAATTCTGGACACCTGAGACTTAAGTCTAACTCTGTTACTGACCTTCTCATTGACCTCAGATCAGTTGTTTCACATATCCTAAATCACTTTCCTGTGTCAAATTTCCCCACTTTTTAAAGAGCTGTGAATAAACTGTATGACTGAAGTGTTACATGCTCATTCACTCATTTATTCATTCATTTAGGTTTTCCTACTTGAAAATATAACACGATGAAAGAGGTGTGTGTCTCAGACAGTTCGGCTGGCCTTGCAGTAAGAGGTTTTAATTTATCAAATCCAAACATTGATCCCATAATGGGGAAAAACACACGCAGTCACTGTCTTTAAAGTAATCCAGATAATGTTTATGTATTTGTGCTGTCCAAATGTTTTTCAGCATCATTTTTTCCCTAACTGCTAACACTTATCTTCAGCTGAGTTTTGAGCTAACACCTCCTGCTTGTCACAGCTTAGATCACCCTCCACACACACCTGCAGTGAGGTGTTACCCTTTCTCTCATCACAGTTGTGTCACTGGAGGAAAGAGTCAAGCATAGGAACTAAAGGGTTGGGAGGGTAGGGCTGAGTTTGCTCCTTTCATGCCCACACCAGTTGGAAAGAATTGCCTCAGCAAAGGCCTTTTTTTTCTCTGATTCTCATGAATTCTCTAAAATCAAGTTAAAAAGGAGTCTTACTGCATTATGCTGTCTTGTAGGTAACCCATTTCTGTGATTCTTCCTATTAGGTCATAGTTTTACTTTGCGTGTTAAATGTGGTTTGGCTGTTAAGCCTGGATGTTTAGAAGACAGCTGACAGTTCAAGTGCTTGTTTTAAAACTGGCATTTTGTCCCCCAATTGACATGGGTGTTTTTAAAATCTCACAATATGAGATGGCTGCTGTGCTAACAGAGTTGTGTTCATGTTGCCTATATCCTAAAGCTGTGGCTAGGTGGAGTCCTGCTTATCACTTTGAATCTTGTGATTTGCGTAAGAGACTTAAACAGGTTTGGTTTGTGTGAGCATGGGGCATAGCTGCTCTAGGACTACCCACAGAAGAGTACAGTCTAGTTTGCCTTCTTAGCTGTGTTTTGCTCTGTAAGTTTAATATCAGCAAGAAAATTAATGCTTTAGTTACTTAACATCAGGCTAAGACAAGGAAGAAGGTGTGACTTTTGCAGTGCTTAGAAAACTACCGTATTATAAAAGGTGTTTTTTTGGGGGAGTAAAGGAGGTTTTATGTATTGCAGGTGAACTATATATCTGTACCAAATTACACTGCGTGGCACAGTCCTTCCCCTGCCACTTGAGAGACTGCAAATTTCCATTCTGAAAACAGCAGTGCATTCCAGCCGTGACATTAATGTGTGGGATTATCCACTAGGCACGTATGGGCAGCGTGATGCATAAGCTTGCGAGATACATGCAAAGTGGAAGTCAAGCTTCCGGCATTCTCGTGAGTTGTAATTAATTCTCGATTCATATTGAATCAAGCATAATAAAGGGACCACAGTCCTTGCAGGAGTTATGCACTGAAGGTGACATACTGATCCCAACATCTTTTGTTCATCACCTTGCAGCTGGAAGTTAGATATACATGGAATACGTAGAATAATATTTATAAGTACAGTTAAAAAGGGAAAGAAGGAAGTAAAAACATTTGCTCACTGTAGGGCTGTGTTTATCCCAACCTTCTGAGCTCTGCAATGTATTCATTTGCTAGGGGTGTCAGTCAAGCAGGAAAAATTGAAGTTGATTTCTTTTGTGCAACAGCTGCAGAACCAGGAGATGCTGAGGGCAATGGTGAAGAAAGCAGAGCTGGAGATCAATGGCAAAATGATTGAAACAGTGAAGAGGCTTGAAGATCCTGTGCAGCGACAGCGCAACCTGGTGGAACAAGAAAGGCAGAAATACCTCAACGAGGAAGAAAAGATTGTGAAGAAATTATGGTGGGTTGAGAAACCTCTTAGAATTTATTGCTTTTGCCTGGCTTTTTCTTCCATAAAGTGGTAGCTTTCACCACTGTCTTCACTGAAAGTGCACCTGTATGTGCTCTTTTAGCTGTTTCCTTGCTGTGTATCATATTGGCTGTAAAACTGTGTCACTGCTTCTGACTGGGAGTCCATCTTCACACAGCCCACTGGGTCAGTCCCGCCAGTACAAAGAGTTTCAGCCTCTTCAGAAGTCCCCTGTAAATGACTGATGGCTGTAAGGACCATGACCACCTTTGTATTCTGAAAACCTCCCTTGTCTCTAGCTCTACCCTTCAGCTTTATGTATTATGCTTTAGAGAAGGAGGGAGGAATTTCCTCAAGAACAAATGGATGCAAAGGAAGGTAATGAGTTTGGCTTCAAGTACGAAAATCATATTTCAATAGTAAGTGCTTTGGATATTGCATGGGAGGGGTAGGGGAAGCTCATAAATAGAGGATTGAAGTTTAATTGCAGTCAGCAATGCCAGTCTTTGTTTAAAATTCCCATACACTTAACTGCAGATAAAAATACTTTCCTTTTTGTTTGTTGCTGTGTAAAGGCCCTTTGTAAGACTGTTTTCTTTTTTTCCGAAAAACTTTGGCCTACCAAGACTGGTGGGATCAAGTTGTTTGCTTTAGTCCCTATTCAGAGTCAGCAGGAGGCAAGATGAAGCTGAAATCAATAAACAATTTAACTAGTTCTAATACTTATATTTGTAATAGGTTATATAAATAATTATTTCTCATTATTGCATTTATTTCACAGCTGAAGAATTGCTGCATAATAGAGAAAAACTTTCTAGTCACCTTGTCAATGGGAATTATGATTGAAGAGCCATCGAGTACAGTTATTGACAGCTGAGGAGAGTAAATCTTTCCTGTTGATCAATGTGTTGTCAGATTAATACAATTTGTAATAAAAAAAAGACAAGATAGAGTGTTACTAAGGGAGAGTATGGTTTCTGTGAAGAAAAGTTGAATGTGCAGTACCAGTCCATGCTAGAGTATCTAATGTTCTCAGCTGATTTGTAGACTTAAATAACATTGCGTTGTAGTTTTAAGTAATTACCCTCCTGTTCCTCACCTTATTCCTGTGTGCCTCATTGCCTGGTTCTTAGATTGTTTATTCTCTATGGAAAGAACAATTTGTGTGATGGCTGTTTATCACATTGCCTCATAAAATGGACACTGAGTGAGGTCAAGTGCCAGTGGCATTCGCTGTTGCAGCTCTTCTTTTAGTATATGACTTGGATTGCAATATGGTTCTGTTTTATCAGGTTTGGGAATTTTTCCTGTTTATAGAGTTTCTGCTGCTTCTATTCTACTTCATTTGTTAAAGTTACAGGGAGACGTAAATCATTCAAAAGTTAGTTCACCACTGTTAGAGACATACTAGAAACAAATATTCATTTGCAAACAGTTATTTTTCATCATTTGTGTCCAGTGTGATTCCTTTGTCATGTATTTGCTTGTTTACAGGATCAAAGCCCAAAAGAAAAGCACATCTGACAACAGTGCTTTAATTTCAACAGCTGATGGCTGTTAATAATGAGGAGCATACGGCACAAAATAACACATGAAATGTCACTGGCAGCATTGAGAAGAAAGCCAGTATTCTATGTAGGCGCTTACAATTAAGCTGATCCCAGTGCAGATGTATAAACAAACACAAAGCAAAAGGGCAAAAAAGTTGTCATTTCTTAGTATTTCAGTTGCTGCCCTGTTGACCTTTCCTAAATCGTAGGACTAAATCAGTATACTGGTTTCACACAACACACCAAAGCTTAAGGATTTCTGCAATACTTACAAAAGTGTATTTACTACTCTGAAGTGGTAAATCTCAGCTTAAAAAGTTCTCCTTTCTACCATTCTGAAGATTATTGCTTGAGCAGGAAGGTTGGCCTAGATGACCAGCTGTGGTCCCTTCCAACTGTAACCATTCTGCAATTCTGTGAAATAAAAAAATAAAAATACTGGCAGTTTCATGTTGTGAACAACAGAAATAATGGTGTACATTTCAGAGAACGCTCTCTGTTGAGCAGCTATTCATGATGGTGCCTACAGAAGTGTGCCCATGTGTGTCACAGCTGTAGCAGGATTACAGTTCAGAGGTATCTAATGAAATCTGTTAAACACAGTGTTCATGCACACTTGTAACAGGGAAATACACACTCAGAATTAACTGTGTAGGTTTTCCCTATCTTGTCTTTTGATTCAGTATTCAAAATGTCATATATGACACTTGTAGATACTAGATTTAAAATTTACCAGACAAAGGACAAATTATGATGCTATGACACATTGACTGATGAAGCATTTGTGTCACAACAAGCATGTTACAGATGTGATTACTATATGTTGTAGATTATTTTAAGCACTTCATTAGAGGGTATTTATAAGTACAGTATTTAAGTTATGGCCACATCCAATCTGTCTAATGCGTTATGATGCAGAGTAACCTACAATTTATACTTTGTTAGGAAAACTATCAGATGTTTTTTTAAAAGAATAACCATGCTGAATGAAAAAAAAAACTTCATTTAGCAATCTTGGAAGGCTACTCATAGCAGATATTTGGGAAAGGGTAGAACATGTTAAAGTTTGCAGAGCACACCTTGTTTTTCATGACTTGTAGTTAAGGGATCTGTGTAACCTGTTCCAGGTGACCCTGCCTTGGCAGAGGGGTTGGACTGGATGATCTCCAGAGGTCTTTTCCAACCCTAAGAATTCTGTGATTTTCCAAGTTAGAGACAGTATCTTCCTATGCAAAAGCTCTGCATGGATTGCTTACTTTTCATGGATTTATGAATTTTTTAAAATTTATGTAAACTTTGTTGTGTACAGCACCTGGATGCAGTGAATTCTACAGAGTAATCAGTTTTTGGGGTATAAAGGATCTTCTTTTGTTTGTTTTTGAATCTTTCATCTGTCAGTCAACCCCCAAACTCTTAAATCACGCACAGAAGAATACTCATCCTTGCCATGCTAGTCATGATGTTATAGACACTCTCCAGTTCCCCTTCCACTCCCTTTTTCCCCAGTCATGCCTTTTTGCATAAGTGACATGGAGATGGGGAGACAGGAGAGTCCCGAAACAGCTGTGTCAGATGTGGGCACAGCTTGACTTCGTGCAGTGGTGTGGTGTGACTTCCCTGTCCTCATATTCCGCATGAGCTTTGTGTTAAAAATCCAGCATCTCACTCACAATGAATGTTTATCAGTTCAAAGTTCATTACTGTGTATAGAACCTTAGGGTTTTGGGAAATTATTTGGTTTAGGTGGGATTCATTTTGGTTTTATTTTTCCTCTGCTCATGAGTAATAATTTCCATTTATTAGGAGTTAATTTAATCTTTAGTGTTTTCCTGGTCAGTTAGTATCAGGTGGTCTATCTGGAGTCCTCTGCAGCCACCTTTTATTTTCATTTCCCTGAATAATGTAATAGCCTTTGGAGATTTTTTTAAATTATTTATAATATGTTGAAAAGCATCAGCCTAGCAGTGATCCCTGTGGAACCCACCAGCAAAGTACATTCATTGAGTAAGCTGTTCATTGATCCCTTCTCTCTATTTCCAGTACTTTATGCATGAGAGAATTTCCTCTCTTGTCCCATGGCAACTTTGCATTCTTGAAAGCTTTTGCTCAAATACCTTGCTGAAAACTTTTTGGGCTGGCTATAGCTTGTCCCCATGCTCTTGTTGTTACTTTGTGGATTTGTGAGACTTACCTTCTTTTTACACAAACCACATTAATTCCTACCTTATATAGCATATTTATCCATTATTATTATTATTATTATTATTATTACTCCATTAATTTTTTCTTGTTCATTCTTTATTTTGGTATCTATCAATTACACAGTCTAAGTGTCAGTCTTACCAGAGTACAGTTCCCTTGATAACACCTTACTGTTTTAAAACATTTGTTTTCTTCTTCTATGATGCTTTCCCCTGATGTGGTGCCAAAGCAATGTTAATCAAGAAGTTAGATGTTTAACATTAATAGTTCAACTGTTTCAACCTCGAGTTGCTATTGAACTCCAGGGTAAATACCATCTGGTCTGGTGATTTGTTACTGTAATTTTGTGAGTTTGTTTTGTAACCTGCTCTACTGATACTGCAATCTGAGGCAGATCCTCTGATGTTTCTTTTGCCTAAAGAAAGATCTCAGCATAGGAGTTTGCCTTGGCTCCCCTGCATAGAACATAGATGCAGAAAAAATAATTTCTTTTACATTAGCTTTCTGAAACTGCATTAATGTGCATGTCTTGTTAATTTGCTCAGGTCCATCTGTAAAGCAAAGCTGTTTCCCTAGTTACAGAAAAGAATGCTGGAGACCTCTGGATCTGTTTCAGACTTTGGGTCCTGAGGGATGAAATTTCTTTTCCCTTGCAGTTAGCAACATGAAGCAGTGTAATATGGTATCCCCTGTGTAATTTCAGGACCTGTTGTCTTGTTTGATATTATCACTGTATGGAATCAAAGGAGTTTATGGTGACCCTTCCATTTCTGCTCAAAGAACAAAGGAGATGGTGAGCCACTGTCAGCTACCTGGAAGTCTTTCCTTTATCCCCACGTTTCCAACAAGCATAAACCTACCAAAACACTGTAATATTGCTCTGTGTTTTCCTTTCTCTTCTTTCCACACATGAACTATTTTAAGCTTCTTTCTTTATCTTTTTGATGTGTGTTGGATGGGAATATCTGAGAAGCTGCTTTTCTAGTGCTGATCTAGAAAAGGGATGGAGGATACCCCATGATTCCCAGAGCAGCACTGCTGAGCTCAAATGCCATTATCAGGGCATTAAGGCTAGAGAGGACGTATGACTGACTGAGCATCGTTCTGCAGAGCAGGAGCCATTGCATTTTATTGAGTGACAGAAAGCCAGATTCTTTTTCCAGCTTCTTTCTAGAGTGTGTCTGTGCCTTTTATTGCAAAGGCAGACAAGAGACAGCAGATATGTGCATTATTGCAGCCTCTTCCACTGGAAAAAATAGCCTTAGAAACGTTCCCTTGCTGCCATCGTGTGGCCCAGTGGATTGTTTCCCACAAGTCTGCTTGTGCTACTGGAATCAGCACTCTCCCAGCTTTCTCAAGGCAGTCTTTGGGAGAAGTGGTCTTAAAGTGGGAACAGGATCATTTACCTCCACTTGCTCGTGATCTGTTAAGAAGCAACTTATGATTCTTAATTCAAAATTATTTTATAGTTTCTAAAGTTCTTAGTCTTTGGATTGAAATTAAGTCTTTGCTCTGTGCACTTAATGTTCAGATTCTGATACTGCTTCTGCTTCTCTGTGTATCAGAAGTTCTGTTGTAATTCCATGTATTGTTCCATGTGACTGTGCTCCCAATTTAAATTGACCTACATGTGGAGTAGTGCTGTAAGGTATTTTCTCCTTTTTATCCCATTACTGGCCACCTACCTTTCTTCCCCATGTCACCTGTTCACTGAGATGGGTCTGGGAAATGGCTGGTTTTGTGTGGCAGTGCTGGCACAAGGGAAATACGTGGAAATACAAGACTTGCAGTTGGTGCAGGGGGCAGGCTTCTCCTACCCCTTTTCAGACAAGCAGCTCATACCTTGGTTCTCTTAGAGCAATTGCAAACCTAATACCTGAGTGGATGTGAAAAATGAGGCCCAAGATTAGGTTAAAACGAGTAGTCGATTTGTCAGCTCAGAGTTTCCTTTGCATTGTTTTCAGCATGCAATTAAACTGCTTCCTAGAATATTCCTGGTATTTTAATAGAGGTGAATTTCTCTTAGAATATTCAAAAGATTATCTTTTTGTGGTATTTGCGTGAGTGTTTGTGTAGTTGCACATAATGCATCTCAGGGAGGTTTTTCTGAGAAAATTTTAAGTATCTCTGTGGAAACTCCAGTTGTCTCAACCTTGACTGGAAAGAAGTGGCTACACCCTCCAAACAAAAGCAGAGTTTTTTTGTCTGAAGGATTGCAAAATTTTATGTGAAGTATGGAAGCACGGGAAAAAATATTGGAAAAGGTGATGAGGGAGCACCAGATGGAGCTGGAGAAAGCACAGAATGGCAGTGGATGGAAAAAACATCTGAAGTGACTCATTCTTAAATGGAAGTGCTGAGCGAGAGCTGCACACAATGCACACTTGCTGTTTCAGTCGGGCTATTCATAGAAACAGGATCCTGTATCCTGTCTACCCGGACCTGGCAGATAAACAAGGTTGCACGAAGGGGCCTTTGTTGCCAGTTTTTGGGTTATTGCTCAACTGTTGGCCATTCCCTTGTGTGTCCTTGGCAATGAGAAAACACAAGGAGCAAACCAGTACTGGATGTGGTGGTAAGAGTGTCTATACCCTTCGAGGGTTTGCGTCCCCAGAGGGCTGACTGTTCGATGTGTTCTACCACCTCACCTGCCCTCATAGCACAGCTGCCCTGAGGTCAGTATGCTCTGCACATCTGCAGCCTATCAGAGAAACCAGTGACTTGGGCTAGTTACAAGCCTGTTCCTATGCTGTGAGTGTCCAGCATTCTCACTTCCCCTTGTGGTACCCTGCTGGTTTTTTAGCCTGTGGTGTAAGATTTAAAGATGCCACAGTTGAGGTTTCTGGCTCAGTTTACTCCATTCGTTCACATATATTTGCTTGTAACGTGAAAGTCCTGCTTAGATGTTATGTCCACTTTTTCTTTTGCCAGTGAGCTGGAGGCATTTGTTGAAGACCTGAAGAAGGATTCCGCTGCTTCCAGCAAGACAGTTACACTGAAAGATGTTGAAGATGGAGCCTTTCTTTTGCGTCAAGTGGGAGAAGCTGTTGCTACTCTGAAAGGTATGTACTTTCCCTTTTTACTTTTGTTTCTTTTCTTTTAACCACAGTGGATGAGACCAGTTTTGCCTTTGATCTGGGGGCATTAACTTTCACTTCCAAAAAGATTTAGAGTTGGGATTAGGAAGCTTGCTGCATGGCCCCTGGAGAGAGGTAGATGCTCAACTGATTGACATTCACCCAATCATCCGTTACTCCCCAGGGCTTTTATCGTTCCGTCTTCAGCTTCACAGTTGTTTTCTTTGCAGGAGAGTTCCCAACATTGCAGAACAAAATGCGTGCGATCCTCCGAATTGAGGTAGAAGCTGTGAGGTTCCTAAAGGAAGAACCACACAAGCTAGACAGCTTGCTGAAACGTGTGCGCAGCATGACCGATGTCCTTACCATACTCAGGAGGTGAGGGGTTGTTTTTTCCTTCACACCTAAAGAATTTCCTCAAGCAAGGCTGGAACAGCCTTTGGGTTTGTGTTCTCTCCCTCTCCTCAGGCAATTCTGAGAAGTTCAGCTTGCTCACAGTATTCATAAATTATTCCTAGAGCCCTCTCAAGGGAAATCAGATTAGCCTTTCCTGTGCTCTGTGCAGTGTTTCTGTTTTGACCTGTTCTGACAGCCTCAGTTGTTGAAATCTTACAATTGAAACTAGTTCCCTCTCAACTCAGCACTTCCAGGTTTGGGAAGTACCTGGATGAGAAAACTTAGAGTGCAGCAGTCTCATATGTGAGCTAATTAGCTATAGGCATTTACAGCTTTCTAAGCTAACTGAAATATTCTCTGACAGGGAAACCTGCATCCCTTAAAATTTAACAGACTCCGTTCCTGTTTTATTTCTTACTAAGGGGTAAAGGTATCCTAAACCTTCTAAAAGAAAGAAATTATTTACAATATACTTCTGAATTAATGCAAATTCTTTATTCTCTTCTTTACAAGGAAGATGCATGAGAGAAAGTTGAAATATTAGATAAAACTTACATCCACTAAGTGCCAGTGTTTAGCTGTGTTTGTTTCAATATATGAGTTGTAAATGACTGCTGATTTATATGACTCAGTAGGCATTGGATTTAATTCCTCCTCAAAACTGTCAGTGGTGGTGGTCTCAATTTTACATCAGTTACAAGGAAATGTAAATCCTAAGACTATTGTCACTACCGTTATTCTAAGGAATGTAGAGTTGCCATTGTTTCCATGTATCCTGGAGCATATGTAAAATGGATTTGCCAGTACTGGCAGATGAATCAAATGGGTTATGTAACAGGTCTTCTAAGAGCCATTACTTACTTTTTCCATGCAGATAAACATCTATATCCTTTCACATTAGTTTCCTTTTCTTAAAAATTCCTACAGTTATTTCCCGTCTTGTCCTGCTTGGAAAGAAAAATAGAACAATAAGCTATGCATGCCAAGGTTTTACCAAAAGTCGTTTTTTGCAGCAAAATTACATACTAAGCTTCATAAAGTCTGTTTCAGTAATGGAAAAACTGATGGCATTTGATGGCCCTCTACACTCTGAAGCTCAATCATTTCACAGCTAGCTGGCAGAAATAGCTGCCTCTTTACATCCGCAGCTCATCCTACCCCACACTCTTGACAGACAAGGCCTTTGTGATCATTTGATACAAAACCTTCATTCGAAGGCTCTGTTTTGGCAATGGGCCAGGTTACTACCTCGCATTATATGTAACTTCACCTTTCTGTGCCAATAGTCCAGGAACATCTTTAGCTAGATACAGTCTACTGTGTTTAAGTCAACTGATTTCTATTGTCTCTTGTGTATTTTCTATTCTAAAAATCAACCCACTGTAACTCATGGTTTGGTCAAAAAGTGCCATTACATCAATAAAGGTTTGTAAACATTTTAAAAGGCAGAACTATCTAAATTAAGACTGGCCTCTTTAAAATTGTGAGTCCCTGACTCTGAGAGAAAGCTATAGAATCACACAACTGAGAGCATCAGGAAGAAAACCCACCCCTTTGATCATTTTGATATAGGTGCTTTATCCCTTGCAAGAGTTTATTGTTATGTACTGTTCACGACTCACCTGTATGTTAACATGTGCTGTGCTTTGTGTTCAATTTGGCTGGGCAGACATGTTACAGAAGGACTGCTGAGGGGTGTGGATCCATCCCAAGCCGTGCAATCCTCAACTATGGAAAAGTCCACTGCAGCTGACACACTGAAAAACCAAGAGGAGCACAAGCCTGCCCTGGGACACACACAGCAAAATCTCACAGCAGTCACATCAGAGTCCCAGGTGTCATCAGTCAAGTCGGAAGTCATCCCCTTCTCAACAATGACTGTCCATCACGTGCAGAGCTCGCCAGTTGTCATCCATCAGTCTCAGCACTCATCAGCCCTGGTCAACCACGCCCAGGGCTCATCCACCGCAGGCACTCACAGCGAAGGTGTGCCAGCAGGTGGTCACCTCTCAGCCACCCCACCAGCCCCCCTGCAAGAGCCCACAGCAGGATCCCAGCCCACACAAGCCACACCAGCACCACAGGTCTCTGTCAATGGCACCACCATGCAAAGTCTTTTCATTGAGGAAATTCACAGTGCAAGTACCAGAAACCGAGCTGTATCAATTGAGGTACGGTGTATTCTGCTCAACCAGTTCCCCTCTGTTTGGGTCTGAGTTCCCTGTCTCACTCTTGAGGCTGCAGGTGGGATTTTTCTAATGCATTCTGAGGATTTATGTGCTTAACTCCTAACTGGACTGTACTTCTGAAGATACCCTCTGATTTTGTCCCTGCTCATTGCAGAGGGACTAGAAGACTTTGTAAAGGTCCCTTACAACCCAAACTATTCTAAGATTCTGTGATTTTAAATGCGACAGGAAAATTGCATATAACCAAAAAGAGTAACTCTGTTTTTTAAATTTTAAAATATTTTTTTTTAAAAAATAGATTTCTATTTTAGAATACCTTATTTTTGAGCAATAGTATATAATTCTCTGGCAACACTTGCATCTGTGGATTTCATTCACTTTTTAAAATCTCCATATTCCGTATTATGGAGAAGTAAAAGTGAAAGAGTGTGAAGTTCCAGTGGTTTCACACAGAGAATTTGAGAAAACCCACAGGTGAACTGTTGTGTCTTACTACAGACATGCATTTTAATCACCAGTATAAGGCCTTTGTTCCTTTAGTGAGCAGTGGCCACTGTGTGCTTGTGCCATATCTAGCACAGTGGATGTCAGAACCAGTGTACAATTAGTGTTCATGTATTTCCTCTAGTTGCTGACTAGAACTATACTGACCTATGATGTCTACACATGGCTTTTATTTTTAAGTAAGTGATCGCAATGGAAGTCAGAGAAATAAATAGATACTTTACTGGTTTTGTCTAGAAAGCTGAAAAGAAATGGGAAGAGAAAAGACAAAACCTTGATCACTATAATGGAAAGGAATTTGAAAAGCTCTTGGAAGAGGCCCAAGCCAATATAATGAAGTCAATTCCTAACCTGGAGATGCCTCCCCAGCCAACAGCCCTGCCTAAAGGGGATGCAGCAGAAAAGCTCGAAGTCTCAGGTAAGGTTTTCTAGAGTAAATGGCACTAAAGAATTGCATATCTGGAAAAGAGAAGTTATTTTTCTGACTTTCTAGAATGGTTTCAGTTTACACATGTCTATGATCTTGGGGAAGGACAAAGCAATCTCTGAATACACAAAAATATGCTTTTAAAAGCAAGAATAACTTGCTGTGGGTGGGTAGAACAGCAGGGAAAATTGGCAGTTGCAAGCAGGAAGATCCAGATTAGGTATTAGGAAAAAGGACGGCATGAGGCAATGAGGAGGATGCAAGATCCCCATGGTTGGAGAGAATGGCTTAGACTAGCACTAGATCAAGAGTAGGTAGAGCTACTTTGTGGTGTAGCAAGATGGTGGGATGTCCTTGCTGTCCTATTTCTTTCACAATTTAACATACAAATCTATGTCTGATTTTCTTCACAATTCAAGGAGCAAAGAAGATGCCTCAGACAAATGCTGGATTTATCCCATTAGTCAAACATGAATCATCTGCAAAATTCTTATCCAGCTACTTAAGCAATACTACATCTGGTTCAGCAGTCTGTCTCTGACAGAGGCAATGGGAGATACTGTCTGGGGGAGCTGCCTTCTGCAGTCTGTTAGTAGTCTCCCAGTAACCCAGCAACTGGTTTTAGAGGGAATATCCCAATCTCCTCCTTTTCATATCCATTATGGAACTTTTATCCAGTTTTAAACTCATCTTGCACCAGCTTCACTGAGCTCCCCATAGTTCTGATATTCTGCAGTTTGGCAAAAAGCAGCTCTGCATTCCTTATATAAAATCATGATATCATGAAGGCAGTGGATAAATCTTTATCATATCCTGGAGCTCTGAGCCTGCCCCCAGACTTCAGACTGCAAATCTGTAGCTTTTCTGGTCCCTCCATCCAGGCCAGCTGCTCCCTCCCCAGGCTAGATTCAGTTGTCCTTCTCTAACTCCACTGTGTCCTTCTGGAGCTGTAGAAGTCAGAGCTGCATGCTGCACTCCAGGTGTTGGCATGACAACCTTGTAAATAGCTGAAAAACAATGCCCTGGGGCTTGTGTAGACAAATTCATGTAGAATTTGGGAGGAGTGTTTTCAGATCTAGCATTTTATTCTGGGTGCACCTTTGACACTGCCAAGTTGTGGCTTCCTGGATGTTTCACTACATACATGTTTAAAATTAATTCTGTTGAACCTCACAAAATAATTTAAGAATTCAGTGAGGTTACTGGCTATCAACACAATTAGATTGTATAATGTGTGGCATAAATAGAAAAAGTGAAAATAAGTACCATATGGGTGCAGTGAACTGTGACATCTTAAAAAGTGCAAGGCACAGTAACTGAGAAGTTTTGTAACTTGCAGAGTTAACTAATCCACTTCTAGAATACAGTTTTGCACAGTGTGCAGCCAGCACATTTAAGAAGAAATCTGATGAGATTGAGACGTTTGCCTTCTGTTGTGCATAATGAATCCTGTAATAGTAACAGGATGAATGAATAGAGGAACAGCAAACCTTTTCCTTAATATCTGATTAAATATCTCACATACCACTCAGCTCTTCTGTGATTCAGGATGAAAAGTTCAATACCAGTCTGCTGTAGATTAGAAAAAAGAGCACTGTAAGAAAAGACAGACCGCCTATCTACCAATATAATACATAAGAAATTTTGGCCATAAACTAGCAGAGCCCTCCTTTATCTTAACTGCAGAACCCAGATAGATCATGTTACCAGATTATGTTGTCTCAGCCATTCTCCACACAAAACCTGGTAGGTAGGACTACATCTGATGTACTTAAAAACTAAGTGGTATGTATTGACCAAAGAAGTGGTCTAATGTAAAGTGCATCTGGAAGTTCTTGCAGTCCTGCAAGTGAGTGCCACATATCCAGGGAGGGATATAATACAACAGAACATTTCATTAAGATTAAGCAGCTTCAAAGAACATTTGAGCTAAGAAGGGAACAAAGATGAGGCTGGGTCAGACAACTGCTCCGTGGGCCAGCTGGAGCATTGGAGGAGCCTGACACAGCCCCAGGAGTGTGCAGTTAGGCAATTACTTGCCCAGAGGGAACACTTAGCCCTAAACAGCTGGGGAATCCCAAAAGCAGGAGGTTTTATCTTTCTGGATTATATTTATTCCAGCTGTTATATAACACTGAGTAGCTGCAGAAAGGCCATTCTTTTGCTCTTGTAAATGAACATTGTAAACGGTGGTGTGAAAATGGTGGCTTTTGCCATGTATTATGCTTGTGAGCTGGAACACGTAGGGACAAGTCACAAGCAGGGTAATGCTGCTTCTGGAAAAAGTGCTGTCCAGAGACAGTGGGGGAGGAAGTGGCAGCTGGTGGGGAAGCATAGCTGAGGGGAATGCCAGTTTGAGAAACTGGCATAGCAAGTTATGCTATAGCAAGGGCTGGTTCTGCTCCGCCTTTGTATGTGGTATTTGAATTTTCATGGGTAAGAAAAATATATATAGGGCTCTTATGTGATAATTCAAAAGCAAAACTGTGCATTCCTAGTAAGTAAGTAGTAAGAATAGTAGTAAGAAAAGTGAAAATAAATGCCTTTCCCATTGAGGCAGATATGAAAATACGGTTTTCCTCTCCTTCACCTATGCTTACTTTGTGCTGCTCTGTTTATGTGTAGAAGAAGTTCCTGATGGAGAACAAGATAATGACAAGCTGACCAAATCTCCACCTCCTCCACCTCCACGGCGCAGTTACCTGCCAGGGTCAGGACTAACCACGACGAGATCGGGAGATGTTGTCTATACAACCAGAAAAGAGGCTCCTGCCGCCAAGGTTTGATGATTCATACTCCAGGCAGTCAGACCGTTGATGAGTGGTTGGCAGAGAGACAAGCCACAGGCTTGGGCCTATAAAATAATGTTGAGACAGAGCTATGTCCTGGAGAGCTACTGAAACTGCTTACCAGGATGCACTTCTCTTAGGCCAAATGAACAAGGAGGATTTGACCAGTTCTGTTTACAGGAGTCTTGCTGCTCATATTTCCTAGCAATGTAGAAGGCAAGTTAGCAGCTGTTTTCATTAGAGTGGTAAGAAGATTAAAAATAATTTTAAAAACCACGCATGCTTTAGACAGATGGGGACGATCAGCTCACATTTGAGAGTGTTTTTACAGAAATGTTGCAAATTAGTTTCTTTGGGCTTCTTTTCTCCATCTGTTCTGTTCTCTGAAGAAAGTGGAGGGAAGTCCAAGTTAGGAAGCTTTTTAATCTGTGAACATAACAACAACATCAGCAATATTGGTTACTTTTGAGCTGATGAAGTAGCGGGAAGAGGGACCTTGCAATAGGGGAGTTGCAGCAGTGTTGAATTTTCAGTGTTTGCTTTGCATCAGGAGGGCTCATATATCATGTTTGCGCTTTCTTTGGTTGTAGGAATGCAGTGAAGATGCTGGGCAAATAGCACAATCCAAAGCCCCTAAAGAGGATCAGGCATTGTCTCGGAGCACAGGACATGCTATAGCATCAGCTGAGAAAGATGAAGAGGAAGAGGAAGGAGATAAAATAATGGCTGAATTACAGGTATGCCTTTTGGGTTGCACATGAAGACACCTGTGCC